TAGCGGTCAGAAGGAAGCTCGTTAAAAAGCCGGCATCCTATCGTGACTGAAACAACTTCAGAATAGACTACAAGATAATCAGTATTACAACCTTACTTATTGCCGATTAGCGAAAGAGTATCAATCTTTCCCATATGTCGGAATGTTACACGAATTCCAGGCCGTAATATACATCGGTTGACCCAATACTCCCAGTAGAAACCGATTTTTACCCCTCATTGTTCATTTAAACTACAACAATGAGGTCGTCAGCACACGATGTTAGCTCCAAATTGAAGGTAGCCCAATTTGGCCCACATTTTATGACATATTCACGTACATGTCTCTACGTTGCCGACAATTGCAGTCTGTAACCACTAGGAATTGCTTGTGGTTCCCCAGCTTTGTGTGGATTCTATGCCTTATTTTATTTATGGTGCATGGAGGACGCTTTGGCTGAAAAGCTTGAAGTAATATTTTCAAAATAAAGCTCATCCCTCTCACTTACACGTGATTTTAAAAAAAGATTGTTTAATGATAGCACCCAACTGGTTTGTCATTACGCCATCCCTCTTTTTTCACTGTTCAGACCAAGGGGCAGTTTTCAGACGGTCTCAATATCTGTTAACGCCCGTCACTTGTTCAAACTGTACATTTTCTACTGTCTTAATGCGCGTTGGTGGCATACAGGCCTTGTTGTCGCCTCAGTTGCAAGACTCAAGGCGGCTGCAGATAAACAATCTGTGACCAGAAGTTACTCCCACCTTGCCACGCTTGCCACTATTTTCCATCTGCGGAGCACTCAGGCTGTAAGCGGTAAGCCCCGCCCACCTGTCTGCCCATGTACGTGAACTCGTATAGACCGCACCTGCTTAAAGGTCCCCTTCCCACTTAAATGTCGCCCACGCGCCCCACCCAACTTTCGAATTTCAAACCATTTGTTTTTTGTGGGATAGGTTCTTTCGTGTTCCCTCCTCCTCCTCCTCCTCTTCTTCTTCCTCCTCCTCCTCCTCCTTCTCTACGAGACAGCCCCTTATGCGAGCGGCGATAGCCACCCTGGCATAACGACATGTGAGTGCGCCCAGTCCTTTGGCCTCTCCAC